ATACAAAGTGTATTTATTTGTATTCGTTTCGCAGCTATTTGTCGTTGCTCTTCAATGCCATATTTTTTGTTTTTACAGCGCACCGTAAAAATGACCACAAATGGGGACCTCTACGACGAGCACTTTGGGCACGCTGAAACATCTGTGGACCACCTATGGACCTCCACCCTCCGGGGGGGGGGGGGGGGGGGGGGGGCGCCACGAGCAAGGCCAATGCGGGGCCAAGGCGTGGCAACCTTTCGCCGAAACTTTTCGTTCAATGTCCGTTCAATTACACGCACGATTTCCGCTTCCTGCGGCGGCGATGCCACAGAAGAAAAAACCAAAAAAGAAAAAACAAAAAAGTAAATAGAATAACGAAACGAAAACTTTGCACCCAATACTTTTCGCTCCCCTCTTTCCATGCCTCCAGCCCCCCACCATCCACTGTTGTTATTCGCTTGCGTTTATTTGACAAATATAAAACACATTTTCACCCCAGATGACGACGCCGTCATCATTGTCCTCGTCGTCGTCTTCGTCGTTGTCGCCGCCGTCATCCAGGAGCAAAGTCCAGACAAGCATTAATAAAAATAATATTTTCGCTGGGGTAAAAAACAAGCTGGGAGTTGGGGCAAAGGGCCATTGCAAAATCGTTGAGCTCAGCAGGGTGCTCAGTTCGGAGTCCTCGAATCGTTGGTCCGGGATCTGGGAGGGTTCGTGGTCCAAGTTTTGTTTGCCACTTGGCAAATATTTGCTTGTCGTTTTGGCCAGAGCGCGGCCAAAACACTTTGGCAATGGCCGAAAAGCAGGGAAAGCCAAAGGTCTCAACCGGGGCCAGAACCCTTATAGGGGAGCTCCCGATGCCTCCTGCTAGTTGTGTGTTCGCTTCTTTTGCTTCTTGGCGGGGGGTGTTGCATGTGTCAAAAAAACTTTGCAAACTTCATTATGGTTATTTGCTCACCGCAGAACGTGGATGGAACAACCATGGATGGCCACACACGCATACCGACACACACACATGCAAATGCAGGGGGGAAGAATTTTTTGTTGGCTAAAAGTCCAAGTTATTACCGTTAATTTTGTTTGCGCCAAAGTTTCGCCTGCACTGCCATCCCTTCACCCTTCACCCTTCTGCCGCACACTCTCTCTGTCTCTCTCTCTCTCTCTCTCTTGGTCTCTGCTGCTCTCTCTTTTTCTTTTTTGTCTGGCCGAGTGATGTGGGGAAAGGTGCTGGGGGTCTTTAGACATCTTCCAGGGCGAGAACTTCCGCCAAAATGATAAATTATTTTGTTTACTTGCCATTCGGCAATCATTTCCGCACACCCATCCCCAGCCCACATCCTTCGCCACCCTTCTGGGTAAGACCTGTTTATCGATGGCCAATCGATTGGCAGCAGAGCAAACTCATCTCTGCGGGGGTTTGCGCTTTCATTTATCGTTTTGGGAAATCTCATTTTCATCGCCCATGAATATTCATATTTATTTTTCACTCTTCTTCGCTTGTTATTTGCGATCTTCGTGTATTGAATAATCAACTTTATTCGAATGTAAATTTTGGCGCACTTCATTTGCTTCACTTGCCTAAACATCAGCCCTCCCATCAGCCAACTCCAGTTTGCACTTGCATTTGCATTGATGAATATTCCACAGTCAGGTTTGGCCTCGTTGTGGCCCTATAGAAAACATTCTTTCATCGCTGCAAGTTTTTTGCTTTGAAATTTGAACAGAACATATGGCATGGGGCCTGGGTTAAAATACTCCCGCTACGTTTAAGATAATCTTCCAAGTCACTTATCATTTAAATTGCATGTTGGAAGCTGCCAAGCTTTTATAGCTACAATTTAATATAATAGTTTTGATGCACTTACGTTCATTTTCATCTCTTAATGAATATCTTGAATATCTTTTCTTGTTTGTTTTTCTGTTTCTGTTTCTGTTTCTGTTTCGCACTGTTGATCGGCTGTTTGGGTCTCTCCTCTTGGCACTCAAAATTCATATTTCCGTTGGTCTATTCTCTTCCAATTTCCATCCTGTTTGCTTGTTTATTCCGTTTCTGCATTGCCAACACTCACTTGTATTCACATTTCCTACTCCTAGTACTCCTCGTACTTTTGCTATTCCTTCTGCCGCTGCTGTTGTTGTTGTTGTCTTCTAACCCAATTCCGGAACTTGTTTCCTTGGCCCCAGACACACAAACCAAATAAACCCACCCACCGTCGCACCAGCGTTCCCGTTTCCAACAAAAAAAAAGACAAAAACGAAAGAAAAACACAAGAGGAATCGCACCAAATTGCAAACGGAAAAGTGAATTACTTTGTTGTTGTTCCTTCGTTTGTTTCTGTATAGCCAGAGAGTGATGGAGAGAAGGGAAGGGAAGAACAGACAGACAGAGCGGTTGGAGTGGGCTGGATGGGTTGATTATTCAAGTTTTAATGATGTTACGCATGAGGAGGCCGTGGAGCTACAACTCCCACCAAGGAGCAGTTGAGGAGGGGATTGGCCCAATGGGGGGGATAAGTATGAAGGCACTGAAGTCCCACTGCCAGATAGCCGAATAGTTTTTACGCGTTCTCAAGAAGCTTTTAACGTTTTAATGGATAGGCGGCATTCTGATGGGGCTGTGGCATGGGGCTATCCTTTTACGAGCAAAAAGTGCTGAGCTGGTTGGCCATTTCACTGGCACTGGCACTGGTCCTATCACTGCTACCAGAACCAGAACCAGAACAATTTCTGTTGACATGAAACTGTCCTCTCTCTCTCTCTCTCTCTCATCCCCTCTCTCAGTTGGTCTACCCAACGATTTCCATCTATTTAAACCTTGGTTAGCCCCTCGCCTAGGTCCTGCTGAGTGACTCTAGCCATATGCTTGTGGTAAATGCCAACAGTTTTTTGTGTAATTGTCAAAAGCAACAACAGCCAGCAACAAGCACCAAAAACAGCAACAGAAAGTCCCACCCCAACACCGGAGATACCCTTCTCTGAAGCTACACATAAAATATGGATGGAAGATGCAAAGATTTGGGTCGCTGAATGGATGCAAGCCCATGGACACACGAAAGGGCAGGGTATGCGACACTCAGAAGAGCCAACAACAAGCGGGGGGGGG